TGTAATTATTATTTGTATTATTTAATCATTAAATTGCAAAGAAATATAATATTATTAATATTCAGAACAGAATGTGGAAATTACAAGTCAATATTGCTAATAGCAGATGTAAGTAAAATATTGCTGAAGATTATTTTTAAAGTTACAGTTCCACCTTTACATCTACACTGCTGTTGTGCAGTTGGAACAGTACATAGACAGGAAACTGCCAGAAATTGAAGCTGGATTCAGAAGAGGCTGTGGTACCAAGACTATCTATAATTGCTGATGTCAAATGGATCTTCGCTAAAAGCAGAGAATCCCACACAGATGTTTATATGTGTATTATTGACTATACAAAGCCATTTAACTGTGTAGATCATATCAAATTATAGATAATAGTGAAAAGAATGAGAAACTCAGACCATTTAATTGTGCTCATGCAAAACCTATACATAGACCAAGAAGCTGTTGTCTGAACAGAACAAGGGAACAGTGCATGACTTAAGATCAGGAAAGATGTGTCAGGGTTGTATCCTTTCTCCATATATACTCATTCTGTATGCTGAGCAAATCATTCAGAAAGCTAGACTGTTTGAAGAAGAATGTGGCATTAGGATTGAAGACTCATCAACAATCTGCGCTATGCAGATGACATAGTTTTGCTTACAGAAAATGAAGAGGACTTGAAACACTAGTCTACAGAAGTTCAAAAATTACAGCTTTCAATACAGGTTGCATTTCATTATAAAGAAGACAAAATTTCTCACCATTGAACCTCTAGGCATCATCATGATAGATGGAGAAAAGATTGAAGTTGTCAATGATTTCAGTTTACTTGGATCCACAGTCACTATCAGTGGCAGCATCATTTTAAGAAATCAGAGATATGTTGCATCTTCTGCAACATATATAGCAGGGAAAACCAGCTGTCCTGGACCTCTCAAAGACCAAGGTGCACCTGATCCAAGCCATTTTCCCCCCAGTTGCTTTACATAAACCTTAAAGTTAAGTAATGAGTGAGGATGGCAGCCGAAGAATAGATGCTTTTGAATTGGTGTTGGAAAAGAGTGCTGAGTATCCTATCGGCTCTCAAAAGAATAAGCAAGTGTGTTTTGGAGGAAGTGCAGCCTGGGTGCTTCTTAAATGCAAAGATGGTGAAATTTTGTCTTACATACATATTTTCAGCATGTTGTCAGGAGGGGCTAATCCTTGGGAAAAGACATCATGCTGGGAAAGGTATAGGATCATAAAGAGAAGAAAATCCTCAGTAAGATAGATTGACTATGACAGTGAGTTCAAGCAAATCCGAGATGGTGAGGACGGTACAGGCATGGTTCCGATCCTGTTGTTCACAGAATCAGTATAAGTCATTGTCAGCTTGATGGCACTTAACAACGTGAACTCCATGTATTTGTCTAAAGTCAGCTGTCCACAAGAAGATGGATTTACTTTTGGGTTCTTAATTCTGATCCATTGGCCTGTGTATCTGCCAATGTACAGTTCCAAGCTGCTTTGATGACTAATAACTATGTCGTAGGTTTTGAGATCAAGAAATATAAGACCTCCTACTCTGTTTTTCTTCTTGACTGTCATCTTATTTATGTCTACTTCCTACCCATATAAAGTTTGTGATTACAATTTCCATCTCACTAAAGAATGTAGGTGGAATCTTGATTCGAATTCATCACTTTGGATAGTATTGTTATTTGCACAATGTTAAGACTTTAAATATAGAGCAATTCTTAACACCTGGGAGAAATACACTCTTTAGAACAACAAGCAAAACCAAAAGTGCAGCATTTCTCCAGGGCTAAATCTCAGAAAGCAGGAAAGAACAGAAAGAAGGATGAATGGAAACAGGTGGCAGGAGAGTGTCTGGAGTCCGGTGGCAGTGTGGGGATTGCAGTTAACATCACGGAAACATAATGTTTATGAACTTTTGAATGGAAAACCCATTTGCTCTGTAAATTCCCATCAAAATCACAATAAAGAGGCCATTAGAATTGATAGTTTTTTAAAAAGACTTCCAATCTATGAGTGTTTTATAGTCTTCTTTATCTAGGCTTTTTGCATCTCTGGTTAGATTTATTCCCAAGTATTTTATCTGAGTTACTATTGTAAATTATATTACTTCCCATTTCATTTTCATAGTTTTGTTAGTGGTTTTTTGTTTTGTTTTTAATGTTGATTTTATAGCCTGCCATTTTGTTGAATTTGTCAATTAGGTACTGTCATTTGCTTGCTGAATCTTTGGGATCTTTCAAATACAGAATGATATTATCTACAAATATAGTTTTACTTCTTCTTTGCCAATTTGCATTCCATTTTCTCCCTTCTTGTTGCACTAGTTAAGAATTTAAATGCAGTATTGAGTGTAACCACTGCCTTCTCTAGGTTATCTTTTTCCTCCTTCTTTGTATTTCTGCAGTTGTCTTCCCTCAACATCATAGAAGCATAGGAGACTAGTGCTGCCTATAAAGAGTGACCTTTCCTCTATTCATTTCTGTTATAAAAGAAATACCTGGTTCCCATTTGCATGGGCAATACCTGTAATCTCTCTCTGTGGAAAGTAATGCTGGCATATAGGTTATTAACTATGCTGAGGCCTTTCCCTTCAACTATTGTGTTGAGTCTTTTTATCAGGAAAGGGTATTGAGTCTTGTCAAATGCATTTTCTGCAGTAATTGATATGATCATATGGTACTTTATTTATGTGCTGGATTTTACCAATTATTTTGCTTATGTTGAACTGTCCTTGCACACGTGGTGGGAAACATGGAGGAATTATTGCAGTAAACTCCAAAATTAGAATATTCTACTTTTCTGTCTTCTTATCCTAAGATTTTTGAAGAATAATTATATTACCTTTTTCTTTTTTATACCTAGAGAATGTGATGTTATAGAAACTGAAGACCATTGTAAGAGTCGATGGAGATCTATAAGGATTCTGTATGTTACTATGTTTCTCAGCAGTGTAGGTAAGTACATTAAGAATTGTGTGTAATTTCAAATATTGAAACAAAATGTCATCTACTTAAATAATTTTTAATTAAAGCTTCTCACCACTGGACCAATTGGCAGCATCAATATAGGTGGTGAAGACACTGAGATAGTTAACAGTTTTAGTTTACTTGGTTCCACAGTCAGCACTCCTAGTAACAGCAGCCAGGAAATCAGGAGAGGAATTGAATTGGGAAAGTCAGCTGTGAGGGACCTCTCAAGAGTACTGAAGAACAACGATGTCAGGCTGGAGACTAAGGTGCACCTGATCCAGGCTATAGACTTTGCAATTATGTGCTATGCATCAGAGAGTTGAACAGTGAATAGGGATGATAGAAAGAGAATTGATACCTTTGAGTTGTGGTGCTGGAGAAGAGTGTTGAATATACTGTGGTCTGCTAGGAGAACAAACAGGTTTGTCCTGGAGAGGGTGAAGCCAGAATGCTCCTTGGAGTCAAGGATTCTGAAGCTTCGTCTGACATACTTTGGGCATGTTGCAAGGAGGGATTGGTCCTTGGAGAGGGACATCATGTTTGGGAGAGTGGAGGGACGGCGCAGGAAAGGAAGACCCTCAATGGAATGGATTGATTCTGAGAGTGGAGTGGTGGGAATGAGTGTGGTTGAGACAGCGAGATTGGCACAGGATAGAACGACGTTTAGAGCTCTTGTACATAGGGTCGCTATGAGTCGCAAGCAACTTCGATGGCACATAACAACAACAACAACAGTTAATATAAACATACATAGGGAGCTCTAGTGGCTTACTGGCAAGAAAAACTGCACTGCAATCCTGAAGGCTCTCAGTTCAAGTCCACCAGCTGGTCTGTAAGAGAAGGATGGGCAGTCTCCTCTCACAATTAGGTGCCTCTGAAAACCCGCCCAAGGGTCAACTATGGGTCAGTTCCAACTCATGGTACACAACAACAACAACATAGCAGTAAAATGTAGCATCAACTTAAAATATCCTGGTTCTTTATAGCCACTGCCCCTCTATGTGGTCATTGTCCTTCTTTGTCTTTCATTTGGTCAGCTGTCTCCCCTGAACAACAGACGAGAGGACAAGTAGTGCATATAACTAGTACCTTTCCTCTATTAATTTTTGGTATAAAAATACTAAGCAAAACTTTCAGTAAATTTTACATATAGCATTGAAAAAAGAGCTTCTGTTTTCTTGGATTAATTATAGTCAGAGATTATAATTATTTTCTTTTCAAGTTTTTATTTTCCTTCTGAAAAATAAACATCACATTGCTTGATAAATTAGGGTTTGTGTGCATAAGTTTGTCAATTTATCATGATATTTTAAAATCTAAGCTGTAGTTTAAGAATTGTCTTGTTGTTGTTGTTGTTAAGTGTCGTCGAGTCATAGACAACTCGTAGCGACTCAATGAAGGAAATACCAGAACACTTGTGTATCTTTCATCATTTTTCCAAGTTCTTAGGGTTTTCGGAGGCAAGGTATTTTGGAATTGCATGCCACTCCTGCTTCCAAGCTTGCATTAGTAATACAATAATAGTAATAGTGATCATAATAGTATTTTTGTTGTTGTTGATTGTCCTTGAATTGAACACAACTCACAGCGACCTTATGAACCAAAGGCCTGAAGCCTTTTGCAGCTATCGAAATTTAAAATTATAACAGTAATAATGATGAAATTATTTTAAGTATAAATAACATTCTCTTTATAGGGTTTTCCATTGTGATAATGTCAATATGGCCATATCTCCAAAAGGTTTGTATATTTTGTTTGTTTGTACGTCTCTTAAGTAGCTGTAGAAACAAACTCTTACATAGTAAGAGTTTTCTTGAAGATCTCTTTAGTATTGTACTGTATACTCTTTTTTTTAGTAGAATAAGATACTTCTTAAAGGAGGCTTTTACATAAGATGATCAGAATAATTTTGTGTAAACCAGGACACTTTTGAAATGGAAGTCCTGCTAGACCAGGGAAATAGTATTATCAAGGTGACATAATAATGAACTTTTTTTTAATCCCATCTCTTCCTCCTTTAAAAAAAAAACCTTGAACACTGAATTCCAAAAATATACAAATAATATTTCTGTGGGATAATTTAATACTATTTCTATATAATTAATTTGGAACATCCAATTGCATTGTGAAAACAATAGATTATATGTAAGTTTTGATACTGTGGTTATTAGATGGGGAAGAAAGAGGGACTGACAAATTTCAAGATTAGTGGATGCCTTGACATAAACTGATCTTCAAGCCTTGTCAAGTTTATCTTAAATATCTGGCAATGAACTTAATAAGAATTAGTGTATAATTTGGAGATGTATTTATTTAAACAATAAGGTTCTTCAGTGAGTCCTTCTGTACTTCTCAACTTCCTGTTCACTAAACTATTGGAATCTGAGTAAATCCTCTACTCTGAATCTGTTCTTGTTAAGAACTTCAGTGACATATTTGCTAATAATATAGATGCTTTACAGCCCTTACCTGAGTTGACATTTTGGAGTGCATGTGATATTTTTACCTTTTGTTTGATATTACTACCTTGTTTCAACTTCTTAAATGAAACCCATTAGCTTCTATGAAACATTTTTGTCCTGGTTTTCCTCTTGTTTTAGTTACTTCTCAAAATCTCTTTTATATTCTTTCTCAACTTGCTTCTTAATTGTTGACTTTTCCCGGCATTTGATTGTCTCTCTGTATGTCCATATTTTAGCCTAGCTCCTCTTGACTTGGTCCATATTAGATATCTGGCCAACAATTTATTTGATGCCTCCATTTGTATACCTAGTCTTTTCAAGTCTTCACACATTAGTCTCTTTTTATTTTTTTTTGGAGTATTTTCCTTCCTTCTATTGCTCTTTCTCTTTCTTAGTCCCTTTCTCCTTTCTTTTCCACTATCTTTTATTAATCCTTCAAGGTTTATCTTCATGTCACCTTGGAAAGCCGCCTTCCTATAGTTCAGGTTAGAATAGTCTATTTTCTCTTTCCATGTTTCTTTGTAATTATCATTAATTGAGAAATGCTGTAGTAATACCTTTATGGAATGTGTGCTGACCTCCCCTACACTAGACAGTTAAGATTGTCATATTATTTCAACAAAAAGACTGGGTATCGTTTATGAATGTTTAGAAATTAAAATGTGGAGTTCTGGTGGCCTGATATTATGCTGTGAACACAAAGGCACATGGTTTGAATCCACCATTTGCTCCATGGAAAGAGATGGACAGTCTCCTCCCATGTGATTTACAGCCTCTGAAAACACAGTGGATAGTCTGCTTTGAGTTGTTTACAACTCTATAGCACTGAACAACAACATAATGTACAAAATTTTTTCTTATATTTTTTCTTTTAGATTACATATAATAACTTAGTACCATATTTTCATTGCTATTGTGAAAATTAAGACCTTTTCTCCATCACTTGGGATAGGACACTGGTGTGAGAGTCTATTATTTTTAAAGTGTTTACAAAGGTTGAAGGGAGAATCAGAGGATGATTAAAATTCAGAAAATCAAATTTTTAATACCAGAAAATTTTAACCTAGAAAAAGGACTGTGAAGTAAATCCACCATTTTGTCTTCTTCCCTTCCCACTGCAGTTAGGAGATGTTGAATTGGCTCCAATTTATAGCAACCCTACACGCAACAGAATGAAACTCTGACTGACTCTGTGCCATCCTCACAACTAAGGCTGTGTCTAAATTTACTGTTGCTTCTTGGACAGGGACACCATGCTCAGAAAGGTGGAGGGATGGTGAAGGAGAGGAAGCCCCTCAACAAGGCAGACTGGCACAGTGACTGCTATAACAGGCTCTAGCATGTCAAGAAGTGTGAGGATGGCACAAGATAGGACAGGGTTCACATCTGTTGTTCACAAGGTCACTATGGGTCATACATGACTTGATGGCACCTAACAACAAGGACTTAAGAATGGTTAACAATATGAATTCATTGAGGCCTGGCAGGAAGGCCTCGCATCTGACACTTGGTCACAACACTGGAGACATGGTAAAAATATAACATGCACTCCAAAATGTCAACTCAGGTAAGGGCTGATTATATTGTTAACAGAAATTTTATGAACCATGTATTTTCATCATCTTTCTAAAAGCATTTCTAAGCATTTCCCCCTTGTGTACAGTGAGTTGTTTGTACATTAAGTATCTATAATGCCAAAAGTTTGAATCTCTTACTGTAGTGGTTCTATAAAACCAGTATGTTAGATTTACTGTGCTTCCTTTTTTAACTGAAAATTTACATGACAACTGTATGTATGTTTTAAGCTTTGTCTTTCTTGGATAACAATTCTTAAAGCATTATATTTTTTTCTGCAGATTGATCAGACAGCTGATACAAGTTTTCTGGGCTGGGTTATTGCTTCGTTTAGTATTGGCCAAATGGTAGCTTCACCTATATTTGGTTTATGGTCTAATTATAGGCCAAGAAAAGAACCTCTTATTGTTTCCCTCTTCATCTCAGTCACAGCCAACTGCCTTTATGCCTATGTCCATGCCCCAGCTTCTCATAATAAATACTACATGTTGGCTGCCCGTGGATTGGTGGGATTTGGATCAGGTAATATGTATGTGTATATGTATGTGTGTGTGTGTTCAGTTTTGTTAATTTTGCATTAAAGCATCTGACCTTGTCCCTCCTCTCCCTCAGCCTTATATACAACAGATCTCTCATTGTAATTACACATTATAATGTTTTTCATCAATTTGCCTTTGCTTGTTTCTCATTATTTAGAATCTCTGTTATTCTTTATCCTTCAAAATTCATTTTAAGTTCTACTTCTCCTATGACATTTTCTCAAGGTATTCTGCATCTTATGGACCTTTGATTTCTCCGGTGTATTGCTGTACTACCTTCTATACTGTCTTACACAGTTTTCATTCTTTCTAGAGGGTAAATTTTTTCTTCTTTTTTTCTTCTTCTCTTTACAAGGTAAATTTTTTTTTTTAAATTAGAGACATTTTAGGATTCTTTATGATTTGCAACCTCTAGCAGTCTCTTGAATGTATAGCTGTTCAGTAAAGCTTTTCAGCTAAATAGTGAGTTAGGAATTTGCTTTTTTTCTGTGTCCTAAGTACAGTACTATGCATACAGAATTTGTGACACCCTTCCTTTAAGAACAGTTATGTTGCTGTTGTTGTTATGTGCCGTCGAGTCGCGACTCATAGTGACCCGTTGTACAACAGCCCTAAACTCTGCTCTGTCTTGTGCCATTCACACTATCTCTGACACTCCCATCCCAATAACCCAATCACCGAATATCCCAGTCACCAAATCAATCCACCTCATAGAGGGCCTTCCCCTCCTGCGCTGTCCCTCCACCCTCCCCAGCATGATGTTCTTCTCCAAGGACTGCTCTCTTCTTACAGCATGTCCAAAGTATGTTAGACTGAGCCTCAGAATCCTTGCCTCCAAGGAGCCACCCGGTTTAACCCTTTCCAGGGTGAATCTGTTTGTTTTCCTAGCAGTCTATGGTACTCTCAATACTCTTCTCCAGCACCAAAGCTCAAAGGCATCATTTCTCCTTCTGTCCTCCTTGGTCATTGTCCAACTCTCTGATGCATAACAAGTTATTGCAAAGACCATGGTCTGGATCAGATGCACCTTGGTCTCCAGAGAGACACCATTTCTCTTCAGTACTTTAGAGAGGTCCCTAACAGCAGACTTTCCCATGGCAATGCGCCTTTTAAGAACAGTTATAGTGTACTAAAAATCTAAAAAAAAGAAGTTATAGCATTTACTAGTATGCCTTTTGCCCAAGAGCTTTTTCCGTTTTTAATGAACCAAATGTTTAGCCTTCCTATAATAACATTTCATCATATGTACACGTTAAACTGGTTTTGTATAATTGAAAGTAATATATTCCATTAATTGATGCATTTTCTCATTAAAATTATCTTAAGTGCCTTTTAGTTTCATAAAGAGAAAATAGTGATTGTATCCTAGACCAATATTTGTTCTTCCATATAATTTCAACTAAAATTGATTGTTTGTAAATTGAATATGTTCTTTTACTTTGAACTGTTATATTTTTTCCTAGGAAATGTGGCAGTTGTTAGATCATATATTTCTGGTGCTACTTCTCTTCAGGAAAGAACCAGTGCCATGGCAAACACAAGTATATGTCAAGCATTAGGTTTTATTCTTGGCCCAGGTAGGTGTTCTTCACATTTTCATTATCTGAATTTTAACAAACTATTTTGTTTTAAAAATTATTTTTTTAACTGAGGGTTACAAATCATATCCTATACATTTAGAATATTGTAAACAGTTTCATCCAATCATTCATATCTTTTTTATTTATAATGTTGAAGTGAGCTTACATTGAATTCTTCATATACATTTTAGACCATGTTAATTACAATTGATTAATGGAATGAAAAATAATGTCTAATCAATACCTTAATGTATAACTCCCTTTCCCTTCGCCTAACATATCCATTAATGTCTTTTGCTTGTTGTGTACCATCAAGTTGGAGCTGACCCATAGCTGACTCTCTAATGAGTTTTCAGAGGCAGTTAATCGCACAGGAGGAGATTGCCCATCCTTCTGCAGAGCCTCTGATGGCCTCAAACTGTGTGGCTTTGGGGTTTCAGCGCAGCTTCTTGCCACTAGGCCTCTACAACTCCATGTTGTTGTTGTTGTTATGTGCCGTCGAGTCGCCTGCGACTCATAGTGACTCTGTGTACAACAGCCCTAAGCTCCGCTCTGTCCTGTGCCAATTGCACTGTCTCTGACACTCCCATCCCAATTATCCCAGTCACTGAATCAATCCACCTCATAGAGGGCCTTCCTCTCCTGCGCTGTCCCTCCACCCTCCCAAGCATGATGTCCCCCTCTAAGGACAGATCTCTCCTCACAACATGTCCAGAGTATGTTAGACGGAGCCTCAGAATCCTTGCCTCCAAGGAGCCACCCGGTTTAACCCTTTCCAGGACAAATCTGTTTGTTTTCCTAGCAGTCCATGGTATTCTCAATACTCTTCTCCAGCACCACAGCTCAAAGGCATCAATTTTCCTTTTATCCTCCTTGGTCATTGTCCAACTCTCTGATGCATAACAAGTGATTGGGAAGACTATAGCCTGTATCAGACACACCTTAGTCTCTAGAGAGACACCATTGCTCTTCAGTACTTTGGAGAGGTCCCTAACAGCAGACTTTCCCATTGCAATGCGCCTTTTAATTTCCTGGCTGCTGGTGCCAAGACTGTTGACTATGGAGCCAAGCAAACTAAAGCTGTGTACAATCTCAATCTCTTCACCATCCATCCTGATGCTGCCAATTGGTCCAGTGGTGAGAATCTTTGTCTTCTTGACATTGAGCCTCAATCCATATTGTAGGCTGCAGTCCTTGACACTCTGCAGCAGGCGCTTCAGGTCCTCTTCAGTTTCAGTAAGAAGGGTTATGTCATCCGCATACAGGTTGTTGATAAATCGTCCACCAATCCTGACCCCACATTTCTCCTCATAGAGCCCAGCCTCCCGGATAATCTGTTCTGCATATAGGTTGAAAAGGTATGGAGATAGGATGCATCCCTGGTGTACGCCCTTCCCAATTTTGAACCATGCAGTGTTCCCTTGCTCTGTTCTGACGACTGCCTCCTGGTCCAAGTATAAGTTTCGCATTAGAACGATCAAGTGTTCTGGGATTCCCATTCTTCTCAGAGTCAGCCACAGTTTTTTATGATCCACACAGTCAAATGCCTTTGCATAGTCAATGAAACACAGATAGACATTCCTCTGGTATTCCCTGCTTTCAGCCAAGATCCATCTAACATCAGCTACAATATCTCTAGTACCACAACCCCTTCTAAACCCAGCCTGGACTTCTGGTAGTTCTCTGTTGATGTGCTGTTCCAGTCGTTTTTGGATAATCTTCAGTAAAATCTTGCTTGCCTGTGAAATCAGTGAGATTGTTCTGTAGTTTCCACATTCTGTTGGGTCACCTTTCTTTGGGATAGGAACAAATATCAATCTCTTACAGTCAGTTGGCCAAGTGGTCGTTCTCCAGATTTCTTGGCACAATTTGGTGAGCACGTCCAGGGCAACATCTGTTATCTGAAATACTTCAATTAGTCTGCTAGCATGCCTCTCTAAGGGTTTGAATCTACCAATGGCCTCTTGGAATAACGATGGACACACTCTTCCCATGAGATTTGTCATCTTGGAAACCTGCTGGCAGGTCTGCTATGTGTCAGTTAAAACTGCAGGGCAATGAGAGAGAGAGAACCTTTGTACCCTGGCTATCACTTTGGCTCCAGTCAGTAGACTGAAAAATTGGTCACAATGTCCTGACCTTGCCCTTATGAGAGTTAAAAAGGGGACTGCTAATTCAGATTTTAGCGTGTTAACAAAAGATCACACAAGTCAGGTTATCTGAATCCATCTGCCCCTCTGTCGGAGAAACTAGGAAACTTTTGAGATGCAGATGTAAAATAAAGCCAATTATAAAACCTCATCACTAAAAGTAAGCTTATTTTTGTGTCTAGCATTAAGATTCATTTCAGTTCAAAGACTGAATTCAACTCAGTTCTTTATGTATGTTAACTCATTTACTGTGGGCATCAGTGTTCTAAATTAAGTACTACTGAGAGTTCTGGTTGCCTAGTGGCAAGAAGCTGCCCTGCAATACTGAAGATTACACAGCTTGAGGGGACCAGCTGCTCCACTGCTCCGCAGGAGAAGGATAGGCAGTCTCCTCCCATGTGATTAACTGCCTCTGTAAACTCACTGGAGGGTCAGCTCTGGGCTGATTCTGACTCGATGGTACACAACAGCAACAACAGTCACATTTTACAAATGAGAACACCAAAGCACTGACTGTTGTTTTTACATGTTCTGAAGTCAGCTGTGACTCATAGCAACCCTATGAACAACAGATTCGATAGAACCTTGCCCTTTTCCGTGCCGTCCTCACAATCTCTGGAGAACTTAATTACCCAAGGTAGTTCAAACCTATCTTGTCTGCTTACAAAGTATGTTTTGCCAGTAATTTAGCTCACCACTGTGCAATAGTATACTTTCTTTTTTCATGCTTACTGAAAACAAAAATCTTTATATAGAAGGGTTTAAGGAAAGTTATAGGAAGCTAAATCTCAGAACTAAACATATTATAATTGGCCTATACATCAGATCTTGCAGTTATGAATATCAATATTCATCTAACTCATTAATTTCATCTTAATACTCACTAGCAATTTCTGTTATTTCCTTCTAGTCAGCCAAAAATGGAATCTCATTAATCATTCACCAAAGTGGAATATTTCAATTTTAGAAGTCAGAAATAAATAGTAAGCACAATTGGGATATAATTGAACCTTATCACCATATTGTAAAATTTATCATATTTTTAATTTACTATTCTACCTCCAGTAATATGGTACTAGAAAGGACTTCAGTTCTTAGTTAAATCTTCTAACTACCCAGAAAGCATTTTCTCATTTAAACATTATAAGAAAATGTAGACTTGAAGAAATTATAGGATTTCCTCAATAAAAAAATCCAGTAAGTCAATATGCATTAACATTTATGGAGTGTTAACTATATGTTAGGCCCTGTCCCAAGTGCTTTTGTACCATCTCTTACTTAATCTTGACCTTAAGTTTGTATAGTAAACTAAATAAAGGATCCAAGTTTTAACACAAAGTTGCATTTAAAAATGCTGTTAAATACCTATAATTTAGATGGTATGTGTGATGCAGCTGTTTTAGAGGAAGTTCAACCAGAGTGTTGCTTTGAGTCAAGTATGATGAAACTTCATCTCACATATTTTGGACATGTTATCAGGAGGGGCCAGTTTTTGGAAAAAGACATCATGCTGGGAAATATTGAGGGTCAGAGAAATAGAGGAAGATTCTAACAAAATAGATTTGTATAGTGACTGTAACAATGGATGTAAGCTTATCAGAAATGTGAGAATGGCACAAGATAGGGCAAAGTTCGATGTGTCATTCATAGGATTGTTATGAGTCATAGGTGACTCAGTGGTACCTAACAACATACATGACATACATGTTCATATCATTAAATTGATGAATCTTTTGTAATTGGTGGCCTAATGGGTAAGAAGTTTCACTGCTAAACCAAAGAAAGACAATTTGAATCCACCAGCTGCTCCATAGGAGAAATATGGGTAGACCCATCTCGTGTTATTTACAGCCTCTAAAAACCTCCTGGAGAGTCAGTATGAGCTGGTTCTGACTTGACAGCAATGAGGCTTGGTTTATCAAAGAAATCATATAAATTAAATTTCCTTTGGAAATGCTTTTATAAAAGGAGATGCTTTCAGCGTGAAGAAGCCAGAGAGTCGGCATCCAATTCCCAAATCAATAAGACAGTTGGTTTAATTACTATTGGAAAATGCTTGTCATTCCTCTGTAGCATCTGGTCCCCACTGGACCCTCATTATTTCCTTCACCTGCTCCCCCCACCGACCAAACTGTGGAGCAGCTGGCCCATCCTAAACCTTCTGCCCCCAACCCTCACCTCCTTGTACCCCCAATATGTTTTTCCCAATAAAAATAATATTTAAAAAAAGGAGATGCTGACAAGTTATTTAAGGTGTATTTCTTTGTAAATATTTCTAGATCAGTGTTCCTCAACTTTCATTATTTCAACCACCCTCAAGGAATGTTTTTAGAAATTTATTTCCTAGTCATCTCCCAAGGAGCTCTGGTGGTCTGGTGGTACATAGCTGCATTGCCAAGTCAAACACAAGCAGTTCAAATTCACTAGCTGCTCCGTGAGAGAAAGATGAGCTGTCTCTGAACATTTACTGTCTCTGAAGACTCTCTGGAGTATCAGCTCTGGGTCCATTCTGACTCGACAGTACATAACAACAGCAGTCATCTCACACCATGAGGCTTAAATATATATATATATATATATCCCCAGGGGAAAAAATGTGTGTGTGTGTGTGTGTGTGTGTGTGTGTATATATATATATATATATATATATTCTTTTTAAAGTAGTATATGTTCTCTGTGCTTTGTAAAAAGATTGTTTTCATTCCATTGTGCTGCACCTCTCAAGAATGAACTACCTTCCATTTAGAGCTTTTTGCCCATACAGAGAATGCATGGTGTAAGAAGATGACTTCATAATGTTGCATCTTATTCTATGGTAAACTTTCACATTTCTTCTTAGCTTTTCTCATATAATAATTCAACAAAATGTATTTTATTTTATTAAGTTTTTCAGACTTTTTTTGCACTTATTGGTGAAAAAGGTGTGACCTGGGAAGCTATTAATCTGCAGATAAACATGTACACAGCACCCGTTTTACTTGGCGCCTTCTTGGGAGTTTTAAATATTATTCTGATCTTTGCTATATTAAGGTAATTAGAAATAATAAAATTATTTTTATAAATTGTGATGCTAAATGAACATTATCAATTTTGGATGACAATTATCCTGCAGTCTTTTCTTGATTTTTGAAATATTTAACTGTGTTCATTTTTGTTGTTATATCTTGTACATGGTACTATGATGTTAGCCTAAAAGTTAGCATTTTTAGCCATTGCAGTAAGCCCCTCTAGTCTCCAGCTACCTTAACTTCAGACACATGGTCTTGCCAATCAGTATACTCTTGGCCGATCATCAACAGCTGTGGAACTCGGATAAGAAAAAGAGTGCTTTCCATACTGGGCAGCAAGACTTGAGGTGAGAAAGCCTTGTGGCAGCAAGACTTGAGGAAGACTGGAGCAAGACCCTGGTGAGAATGAGACACTGGTTATGGAGACTGTGGAGAAATTGTGGCAAGGTATAAGCAGTGGATCCCTGAGATAAAAGCCACAATTAAAGGTGTTTGCTATTCTTGGCCACATGCTTGAAGGAGAGGCTGACTTGTAATTCCTCTGAGGCAAACATTGTTTGAGTGATTTGAATTTGACTACTGAACTGAAACCAGAGCTTAGACTAATTGAGGAATTGTGTCTTGGAACTTGGGCTAAATCCCGGGTTTGTTTTCAGTCATATTATTTGCCTCTCCCAGTATCCAACTTACTGGCCTAATAAACCCCATTCTTGGTCCCACAACTGTGAGTTTGTGAGTCAACAATGAACGAACAAACCTCTTGCTGTTAGTGTGGCTCTAGAGGCATCATGGGCCCGTACTGTGGGCTCTTTATCTGCTTTCTGCTCAAGGACAGTTAAGGGGATGTGCTACACTTACTCCCTCTGGTCCTTTCAGAGAAATGCTCATGGCCCTGTGCCCTCATGTCCCATTTTCTGCTCTTTAAACAAGTACTAAGGACCCCTGATGAGGTTACATATTGGGCTGCTAACCACAATGTACTTGTTTCAAATCCACCATGCACTCTACAAGAAAAAATGAATCAGTAAAGATAAATGATACTAAAATACCCACACATACACACAACCTTGCTTGGTGAACCTGAAAATGAGATCAAGGACTGTAGTCTTCAATATGGATTGAAGCTCAACATCATGAAAACAAAGATTCTCACCACTGGGCCAATTAACAGCTTCTTGATGCACAGAGAAGAGATTGCGATCATTGATAACTTTAGTTTACTTGGCTCCACAATCAACACTCTTGGCTCCAGCAGTCATGAAATCAAAAGATGAATTACATTGGGAAAGTCTGCTGTCAGGGACCTCTCTTGAATACTGAAAAGCAGTCTGGAAAGTAAGGTACCCCTGATCCAGGCCATGATCTTTGTGATTACTTGCTATACATCCAAGAGCTGGATAATAACTAAGGATGATAGAAGAATTGATGCCTTTGAGTTGTGCTGGAGAAGAGTGTTGAACATACTGTGAACAGTTAGGAGAACAAACAGGTCTATCCTGGAGAGGGTGAAGCCAGGATGCTCCCTAAAGGCAAGGATTTTGAGGCTCCATCTCACATACTTTGGGAACATGGTCAGGAGGGACCAATCCTTGGAGAGAGACATCGTGCTTGGAAGAGTGGAGGGAAAGTGCAAGAGAGAAAGACGTTGGATGGTATGGATTGACTGAGTGATAAGAGTAATGGAATTAGGTCTGTCAGAGACGATAAAATTGGCTCATGATATGTCAGGTTTCAGAGTGAATGACAAACCACAGCTATTGAGTAGATTCTAGCTCATGGAAACCTTCACTTGAGTTTTTGTGGCTGGAGAATTCAAACTGCTGGCCTTTCAGTTAGCAGGCAAACTTTTAACATGCTAAGTCAACAGAGTTTCTGAATACTATATACAATGTTGTTGTTGTTGTTGTTGTTGTTGTTATGTGCCATCGAGTCACTTGCGACTCATAGCGACCCCATATGCAACAGCCCTAAACCCTGCTCTATATTGTGCCAATTGCACTGTCTCTGACACTCTCATCCCAATTACCCCACTCACTGAATCAGTCCACCTCATAGAGGGCCTTCCCCTCCTGTACTGTCCCTCCACCCTACAAAGCATGATGGCCCTCTCCAAGGACTGGTTCCTCCTTACAACATGTCCAAAGTATGTTAGACTGAGCCTCAGAATCCTTGCCTCCAAGGAGTCATCCAGTTTAACCCTTTCCAGGATGAATCTGTTTGTTTTCCTAGCAGTCCATGGTACCCTCAATACTCTTCTCCAGCACCACAGCTAAAGGCATCAATTCTCCTTCTGTCTTCCTTAGTCATTGTTCAACTCTCTGATCAACAAGTGATTGCAAAGACCATGGCCTGTATCAAATGCACCTTAGTCTCCAGAGAGACACCCTTTCTCTTCAGTACCTCAGAGAGGTCCCTAACAACAGACTTTCCCATGGCAATATGTCTTTTAATTTCCTGGCTACTGGTGCCAAGAGTGTTGACTGTGGAGCCAAGGTAGCTAAAGCTGTAAACAATCTCAATCTCTTCACCCTCCATTCTGATGCTGCCAATTGGTCCAGTGCTGAGATCTGTGTTTCATTGACTATGCAAAGGCATTTGACTCTGTGGATCATAACAAACTGTGGCTGACTCTGAGAAGAATGAGAATCCCAGAACATTTGATCGTGCTAATGAGAAACCTATACTTGGATCAAGAGACAGTCATCAGAACAGAGCAAGGAAAAAGTGCATGGTTCAAAATTGGGAAGGGCGTACGCCAAGGATGTGTCCAGTCTCCATACCTTTTCAACCTGTATGCAGAACAGATTATCCGGGAGTCTGGGCTCTATGAGGAGAAATGTGGGGTCAAGATTGGTGGAAGATCTGTCAACAGTCTGCGTTACACAGATGACACAACCCTGCTTGCTGAAACTGAAGAGAACCTGAAGTGCTTGCTGCAGAGGTTCAAGGACTACAGCCTCCAATGTGGATTGAGGCTCAATGTCAAGAAGGCAAAGATTTTACATAGTAGAAAGAATTTTCTAGAATTGCAGAAGATTTGTTACTTTTTTTTTACATTATGTTATGTTCCTTTAGTGTGCTTTATCCATGAGGCCATTTATAATTAATACTTGGAAATGACTGGACTTCATCTAACTAAGGAAGATCATAAATGTTTTTAGATTAATGTTTTCAAGTAGTTGTAGTTGATAATGTGATAGGAATTGTAAATTCTTTATTATTATATTTTATTGATAATCTATTAAAAGAAATTATATCATAATATGAAAATATAGATTACTAATGGCCATGTCACCGTAGATAGAATGTTTATTGATTTATAGAGTTAACTAATTTATGTTAATCTACATGAACTATAATACAGAAATACTATAATAATGAGAATATAATGAAGAAAGTTATTTTGATAAAACACAATGAAGTATTTCATGTTTTTCTTTTTTTTAAGAGAACATCGTGTGGATGACTCAGGACGACAGTGTAAAAACATTAATTATGAAGAAGGTACTATTACCTGTTTGATTTAATTACTCTAACATAATAATGTTTTAATGATTCTATTTAATACTGGAACTTTGCTTCTGAAGAAAATATAATGAGTAACTGGGTAACATCTTCAAAGCTGTAAGTTACCTAAGTTGATTAAAGATCTTTTTTATTTTTATTATTGAGTGAAAGTTAAGAAGCAATTTTATTTTCCCTTAAGCCACTCATACGTATTTTGTAACGTTCATTAATTGGTATACTATAATTGTACTCTTCTCACTTCCTCACTGTGATTCTTTTATTTCTCTTACTCTTTATACCCTACTACTCTTTGCTGCCTCTGAGCTTTGTCCTTGGGCACATGCTGCCTGTTTGACCTGATATGTTTACAGTTCCAAGGAAAGAATGATTCTATGGTGTTATTGTTCCCCTTATGGACACACCTATTTATAAGGCTTTGCTGAAAGTTCAGTAAGAAAAATATTTTTTACAAGATCTAACAGCATCTGTTATTTCTACTAGAAACATAGTTAAAAATTATATTGTCTACTTTCAAAGATTCAGTATTTTAAATTTCTTAAGATCTTTATGATATTTCAGTAACTTTACAATCAAATATGTCTTTCATTCTATGTATGTTCTTTTAGTTGTGAGAATAGGTGTGATTTCTCTTGTATTTTTATCCTTTTTATAAACTTGCAAATGTATATTCTCATCCTCTGGGCTTTTTCTGGCTCAGGTGGGTACAGTTATGTTCACAATGTTAACATTATTCTTTAATTCCTTTATAATATATATTCAACATTTTCAAGATAAAAATATCATCACTGAAAACAAGATTTCCAATTTCTTTGGTACACTTTTGTCTTTAGCATATATTCTGCTAAGAATTTATAAAAGATACAATTTGGGAAATAGACATATTTTATCAAAAAAGCCATTATTTAATTATTCGGTATGTCCCTCTTGGAGGACTTCTTCCTATATGAAAGATTTTAAATTTATTCCTTATCCTCATGGAGTTCATAAAGTTGTAGAAAAGACATAGTATTATTTTACCAAGTACTTACAAGGATCTTTTATTTAATTCTTATAAGAAAAATAGAAGAAGAAAAGTTAAATGTCTCAGGGTGGAAGACATAGTGATAAGAAGTTAGAATAACTTTTTAAATAAAGGAAAGTCATGACAGTGGTGACATAACACATGTTTGGTTTTTTGGTTTTGGTTTGGTTTTTTTTTTTTTGTACAGGTTTTTATAATTTGTTCTCCTACGATTAGTAGCAGACCAGTTATAAAAAGTGTCAGGTCAGTGTGGTCCCACATACTTGACCTGCTGTTTAAATCCAAGATTTCTGACATCACTGGCTCTTCTTTTGTTCAGTTTCCTCGCTCCTCTATATTCCTTGAATTTGGTAATTTGCTAGAAGGTCTCCCAGAGACTCAGACCTGTCAGGGGAATGACTCACATGACCAGAGGTGTGCAGGCTGGTTTTGCCAAAACTGGTGAGTGACAGGCTAGGAACCTGTACACTGTCAGTTGTGGTGTAGCTAGATGGCGAATGTGGGTGATGTAGGAGACTGGTAAACAAATGGGCCAGCATCCTATAGACTGTTAGTTGTGGTGCTGCTAGATGGCAACTGTGAGTGATAAAGGCTGGATTCTGTGTCTGGTGAGTGTTCCACAAGAGATAGCACTGGGGTCCTATGAGCTTACATAAGCATCCAGTAGAGTAGGGCTTGTATCCCATCCTAGTTCTCTCTCCTTAATACAGTAATTGTTGTTATGTGCTGTCGAGTTGTTTCAACTCATAGTGACCCTATGTACAACAGCCCTAAACCCTGCTCTCTCCTGTGCTGATCACGTTGCCTCTGACACACCCATTCAGATTACCCCAGTCACTGAATCAATCCACCTCATAGAGGGTCTTCCCCTCCTGTGCTGTCCCTCCACCCTCCCAAGCATGATCTCCCTGTCCAAGGACCTGTCTCTCCTTACAGCATGTCCAAAGTATGTCAGACGAAGCCCCAGAATCCTTGCCTCCAAGGAGCAGCCTGGTTTAACCTTCTCCAGGTTGAATCTGTTTGTTTTCTTGGTAGTCCATGGTATATTCAATACTCTTCTCCAGCACCACAGCTTAAAGGCATCAATTCTCCTTCTATCCTCCCTAGTCATTGTCCAACTCTCTGATGCATAACAAGTGATTGCAAAGACCATGGCCTGTATCAGGTGGACCTTAGTCTCCAGAGAGACACCATTACTCTTGAGTACTTTAGAGCGGTCCCTAACTGCAGACTTTCCTGGCTGCTGGTGCCAAGAGTGTTGACCGTGGAGCTGAGCAAACTGAAGCTGTGAATAATCTCAATCTCTTCACCATCCATCCTGATGCTACCAATTGGTCCAGTGGTGAGAATCTTTATCTTCTTGACATTGAGCCTCAGTCCATACTGAAGGCTGCAGTCCTTGACCCTCTGCAGCAAGCGCTTCAGGTCCTCCTCTATTTCAGCAAGCAGGGTTGTGTCATCTGCATAACGCAGATTGGTAATAGATCTTCCACCAATCCTGATGCCACACTTCTCCTCATAGAGCCCAGCCTCTTGGATAATCTGCTCTGCATACAGGTTGAAAAGGTATGGAGATAGGACACATCCCTGGTATACACCCTTCCCAATTTTGAACCATGCGATGTTTCCCTGCTCTGTTCTGACGACTGCCTCTTGGTCCAAGAATAGGTTTTGCATTAGCATGATTAAATAATAAATAGTTACTTCAGCCAAAATAAACAGTTAATGATTGGCTAGGAAAGACGTCTGATTGATAAACCTTAGATACCTAGAACACAGATAAAAGAAAACCTGAACTGGGGCAGTGACTGAGATCAGAAAAAGGATATGTCAAGGTTCTTGACAGTTCGGATAAAATTATTAAGGATTATAGGACGTTGTTGAGAGTAAATGACTTATTTTGAGTCTAGAATGTTATCACATGCTGTTGTTGTTAGGTGGCCTTGAATTAACAACTCATAGTGACCCTGTACACATTGGATCTGAACCTTGCCCTATCCTGTGCCATCCACATCATCTCTGATACACTTAAGCCCATCTCTAATATACTTAAATTACTCACTCTTTCAGTCCATCTTGTTGAGGACTTTTTTTCCTCTTTCATATGACCTTCCACCTTTCCAAGCATGATATTCTTTTCCAAGGATTTATCCCCCACTAACAACATGCCCAGAATATATGAGATGAAGCTTCACTATGCTTGCCTCCAAGGATCACACTGATTCCTTTTTCTCAAAGACAGATTTGTTTGTTCTGTTGGCATTCCATGGGATATTCCGTACTCTTCTCTAACACCACAATTCAAATGCATTCATTCTTATTCTGTTATCCTTACTCATTATGTAACTTTTGGATGCATGGGAAGTAATTGAAAACCTCATGGCTTTAATTAGATGGACCTTAGTCTTTCAACTTGCACCATTGCCATTTAACACCTTGAAGAAGTCCTTGACAACAGATTTGCTTAATTTAATATGTGTTTGAGAATAATGAGAATCCCAGTACACTTATGCAAAACCTATACCTGGAGCAAGAGGTAGTGGTCAGAACAGAGCAAGGAAACATTGCATAGTTTAAAATCAGGAAGGGTGTATGCCAGGGATGTGTCCTATCTCCATACCTTTTCAACCTATATACAGGACAGATCATCTGGGAGGCTGGGTTCTATGAAAAGGAATGTAGCATCAGGATTGGAGGAAGACTCATCAATAACCTGTGTTATGCAGATGACACTACCCTGTATGCTGAAACTCAGGAGGACCTGAAGCACTTGCTGCAGAGGGTCAAGGACTGCTGCCTTCAATATGGATTGAAGCTCAACATCAAGAAAACAAAGATTCTCACCACTCGGCCGATTAGTAGCAACATGATGGACAGTGAAGAGATTGAGATTGTTAACAGCTTTGGTTTGCTTGGCTCCACAATTAACACTCTTAGTACTAGCAGCCAGGAAATGAAAAGACTAATTGCATTGGGAAAATCTTCTTTCAGGGACACCTCTAGAGTACTGAAAAACAATAATGTCAGTCTAGAGACTAAGATGTGCCTGATCCAGGCCATGGTCTTCGCAATTATGTATTATGCATCAAAGATCTAGACAATGACTAAAAATGATAGAAGGAGAATTAATACCTTTGAATTGTGGTGCTAGAGAAGGTTATTGAATATACTGACAACTGTTAAGAGAACAAACAGGTCTGTCATGGAGAGGGTGAAACCAGACTGCTCCTTGGAGGCAAGGATTTTTAAGCTCCATTTGACATACTTTGGGCATGTTCCACTAAGGTATCAGTCCTTGCAGAGGGACCAGTGCTTGAGAGGATGGCAGGAAAGCACAGGAGGCAAAGACCCTTGATGTGATGGATTGACTAATGGGAATAGGTGTGTTGGAGACAGTGAAGTTGGTTCAGTATAGAGCAGGGTTCAGAGCTGCTGTACATAGTCACTGTGTGTCCCAAGTGGTTCAACAGCACATACCAGCAACCACAATAATAATACGTATTTTGATTTCTCAACTGCTGGTTCTAAAGGTATTTATTGTGAATCCAAGTAAGATGAAATTGTTGACAACTGCACTCATTTTTCTATCTATCTTGATATTACCTTGTTGCCCAGTGGTGAGTATATTTATCTTCTTGACATTGAAATGTAATCCATATTAAAGGCTAAAGTGTTATAATCTCTGCAGTACGCATTTCAAGGCCTCTTCACTTTCAGCAAGCAATATTGTGTCATCTCTTAGCACAGGTTATTGATGAGTCTTTCTCTGATCCTGATGCCACATTCTTCTTCATAAATTTTAGCCTCTCGAATGATTTGCTTTACATAAGCTGAATAGATACAGATAAAGGATTCAGCCCGACTACACACCTATCTTGATTTTAATTGCAGCTTGATAAGGAGGTAGGAGAACCAGTATAATACAATTTTGTCTAAACTAGGACAATATTGGACACTATTATCCTAAACAGGATCAAACAAAAATAAATACATTGTCAAATTATAGGATACAAAAAGGAAAGTGAACATGTTGAAAGACTAATGGATATGGAAACAAATTCTTGGAAAAAGGTCATCAGTAACATCTAGGATAGTAATTGCATCTAAATTGTAGCAAAACTTTTTATGGGTGTTGATTGTAGAAGCAAGTAAATAAAATCACTGGCAATTTTAATCTGTATTTCATCTGTCATGCTATTGCCAACTGATCCAATATAGAGGATATTTGTTTTCTTGATTTTGAGGTGTAATTAATATTGAAGTCTGTAGTCTTTGATCTTCTGCAGTATGTGTTTTCAAGTCTTTTTTACTTTCCACAAGTGTCATAGTTCAAAACGAGTGTAGGCAGCATGGAAATAGCCAAGTCTGACTTCTACCAAGTCTACAAAAAGGAACTGTCTCCATCAACAACTTCCACAATACAAAACTAATTCCTATAATGTGAGACATGATATTCAACATCTCTGCAGCTATATCCACTAATTACAATACTAAACATACTGATCAGCATTCGAAATTCATTGCAGTGACCACTTAGACCTCACAGAACCATGCTTAGAGTGGTTATGAGGTTTATTGGTGAAAATAACAGGCTATTATACAGGTTGGCAACAGAATACTAAGTGTTAGTCCAGACAGCTTCTCAAACATGATTACAAATCATTTGATTTTCAGCTTTACAGCCCCCAGGTCAGTGTTACTAAGTGCCCTTAGTCCTGACAGTTATGGCATCTTCCTTCAGTGCTCCGGCAAGCTTGGGTCCTGAGGCAGCAGTCTCAAGTCAGCTCTGAGGTTGGTTTTCGGAAAAAACAAAACAAAAAAACAAAAGTTTTTTACTGAGGTTGCTATTGTTCTTGTATACATCCCACTCTTGCTGGCGCAGAAATCCCAAGCCTCAAAGGAAACATCTTGCTTCCTCTCTCTTGTTGATGTTGAGAATCCCAATTTCTGCTGCCAAATCCACTAAGTTTAATGGCAAAACTAACCATCCCTTTTGTGGACAGACACCCTGTTTATATGATCTCACCCATCCATGTGGCAAGTCAAAGGCCATGGCTAGGAAAGCCATTTTGTACAATAAACGCTTGACACCACACATGTTGTATTCTGTCTAGATGGAACCGACCCATAGCTGACTCTCTATTAGATTTTCAGAGGTGGTAAATTACATGAGATGAGATTGCCTCTTTTTCTCCTGTGAAGTAGCTGATGGATTCAAACAACATATCTTTGGGTTGGCAGCAACAAGTTCTTAACCACTAAGCCACCAGAGCTCCCTGTGTGACACCACAAAAAACCTTGGGCATGTCTTAGTTTGTTGGTCTTAGTTTGTAGATGATCTTCACATGTATATGTCTTCTGTATGTGTATTTATATGTATATTCTGGTTATAGTCTTCTTATAACTCAGTGTGATTAGATTAGGAGCTACTCACACTGGTATGATCTCATTGAAATAACCAAGGAATATCCCTATTTCCAAACTAGATCAAAACTACAGGATAGGAGTTAGGATTTCAGTATACTTTTTTTTTTTAAATCCTTAATAGGAAAGGGGCAGAGGGTCACTGTTACAGATTGTAAGAGATAAAAGCAGTGAATGAATACTATTTAGGTCTTAATTTGGATAACTCATTTGTGTTGTTGTTAGTGCCACTGAGTTGAGTACTAGTCATAGTGACCGTGCGAACAACAGACCTGAACCCTGTCCTATCCTGTGCCATCCTCATCATCTCTGATACACTTCAGCCCATTGCTGTAGTCATGTGTCATTCTATCTCATTGAAAATTTTCCTGTCCTTTTCTGACCCTTCACTTTCAAGCAGGATGTCCCTTTCTAAGGAATAGCCTCTCCTAGCAACATGCCCAAAGCTTTGCCATCTTGCCTCCAAGGAGCACTCTGACTGTACTTTTCCAAGACACGTCTGTTTGTTCTTTTGGCAGTTCATGAGATACACTCTTCTCCAGCACCATAGCTCAAAGACATTTATTCTTCTGTCATCCTTATTCATTGTCCAGCATTAGTGACAAAAGTTGAAAGGGGAAAATAATTCAAGTTTCTCTTAATAAATTAATTGTTAAATTAATGTGTCATCAAGTCCAGTATAACTCATAGCGACCCTTTGAACCAAAGATCTAAACCTTGTTCAATCCTGTGCCATCCCCACACTTCCTGACACACAGAGCCCATTGCAATAGTCACCATGTCAGTCCACCTACTTGAGGATCTTCCTCTCCTTTGCTGACCCTCCACCCTTCCCAACATCATGTCCGTCTCCAAGGAATAGCTCCTCCTAACAAAATGCCTAAAGTATATGAGGCGAAGCCTCATCATTCTTGCCTCCAAAGATAGTATAAACAAATTAATTTTTAAACAAAATTTGGTACCTATAAATCATGATGTTTTATTAAGCTCTAAAAAGGAATGAGATTCTGATGTAGGTTACTTGCAACAGAATGAATCTTGAAAACATGAAATAAAATATAGTAGACACAGAAAGACAAACATATAAGTCTTGTGGCAAGGGGACAGTTAAAACAAACTTTCAAGGAATACTCAACCTGAATCCTTCTGATCATATGGAGATTTTTGAAAGTATTTCTTTGAGTTTATTATGTTTAATTTGTTTTATTTGTTTGTGTATAAAGGATGCTCATCTAGATGATAACATAACTATGATAAAAACAAAAGGGGGCAATATGGGAAGCTAATACTAAATATTTGTAATAAACTGAATGCTATTTAAATAAGAAGTTAAAAAAAGGAAAAATATAAGTCTTATTTATATGATTTACTGAGAATAGACATATCCATAGAGAACGTAGGTTTGAGGTTATAGGGAGAATGGTAGGGAGTTATTAATTATTATAAGGTTTCTATCTGGAGTTATATAAGAGTTTTGGGAATAGTGGTGATGGGTAAACAACATGTGAATGTAATTAATGCCACTTAATTATACACTTAAAATGGCAAATTATATGTTACATTTTACAAAATTTTTCTGAAGTACAGTAATCTGTGAATATTTAAATTTGCATCTAGTCCTCCATTATTCTTCATTTATCCTCCCTCACTTACATTTACACTCAGAAATGAACAAAATATTGAATTGCAACCTGGTTAAATTACAAAGAGTGGGTGAAAAGATCTGTGTCTGAGCATAGACAGAGAAGAGAGTTTAGAAGTTCCAGGAAGAATACAAAATTTTATGGCACAACTCTAAAAACATTAGCAAAATTTTTTTATTTTCTTGACATTTTATACTCTTAACAATGTTGGTAAATTATAAAATAGTGGACAAATTACAGAATAAGAGAGTGAAAGTCAATGAGCAGGCGTGTGCATGTGGCCTCTCATCATTCTTAACTGTTTCAAGAATAGTTTATATATACTTATATGTATGTTTTATATATGTATATTTTATATGTATAAAATATATATTTTATAACTTACGTTCATAATTCTAGCTGACCAGTCAAGGTATTTATATAAAACCACCAGCAAACTCTGGCTATGTCTTTTAAAAAATATACATGATAGCATAAGAAATTTTTAGTAATACTAATTTTACATAACATCGAGATTCTGATTATAAAATTAAAATTTACAATTTCATTTGAATATACAACTGAGAACCTATTAGTAAACTAATTTTTCATGAAATCTTGGTGAATTTAAGATTGAGGTAAGGTAGAAAAATTATGCAACTGAAATCTTAAGCAAATGTATTTAGTTTGAGATTATTATAGAACTCTATAAAACATTCTTATTTTAGGTTGGGGGACATCAAACAGAAAGGAAAAATAAAAGAAATTTATATATTGTTTATATATTGGCTATAGTTCACAGGGTTGAAAAATATAAGAGAGTGTATAAGAGTGTGTGTGTGTGTATACAGGAAAGAATTAAAAATATTTTTAATGGTATTTATATATCTTTCTTTTTGTGTTTAAATTGTTTTGAAGCCTAGAAAGTATTTTTAAATATTTATTCACGAAATTTTATAAATTGGGAGCTCTGATGGCCTAGTAGCAAAAAGCTGCTCTGCAATCTTGAAGGCACATGGTTGTTTGAGGCTACCAGCTGCTCCATGGGAGAAGTACGGTCAGTCTCCTCCTGTGCAATTAACTACTTCTGAAAGCCAACAGAGGGTCAGCTATGAGTTGGTTCAGACTTTACGGTACTCAACCACAATAACAACATATCCTATCATAACAAAAGTTAGGTGTATGAGTAATTTTTTTTTCTCTTCACTTGTAGGAAGTGCCAATGACATTGAGATCCCCCAAGGACATATTGACCAAGTTGCTGTCGTGGCCACTAATGTTCTATTTTTTGTGATTCTGTTTATCTTTGCCCTTTTTGAGACGTAAGTTTTATCCTCTTCTTATTTATGTAAGTATGTATTAACCTATAATTCTTTTTTTTTCAACCTATAATTCTTAATGAAAATTATGCAAGTTATATATAGATGTTAAGGGAGCTCTGGTGGCCGAGGGGCAAGAAGCTGCACTGTAATCCCAAAGGCACACATTTCGAGACCACCAGCTGCTTCACAGGAGAATGATGGCAGTCTCCTCTTGTGCAATTTAACTGCCTCAGAAAACCTTCCAGAAGGTCAGCTGTGTGTCAGTTCTGACCCTCTGGTACACAACAACAACAACATATAGATGCTACTTAAAACCTTATACAAAATATATTTCTCTGGTTATGAGTGAATAATTCTATAGTTTTTTTAATAATATGTTTGTTTTTCTCATTAAGAAAGTGTTGTTGGAAAACAATTATATCCATTTTTTTGCTTGTTTTTGTTGGTTTTTTAAACTTTCGTTACTTCCTCATAAAAGTTTAACTAGTATTTTCCCCTTTATTTGAGTTTTATACTTAAATTAGTACCATAATTAACTATTAATTATATAATTTCAAATATATGTATATTACATATATTCATTCACATATATAGTTTTCAATTCAGCAGTTTTAATCTGTCCTAATCCATAAAAACATAACTGAGATATACTACACAATCTCCACCTTTGTTGATTTTTATTATATAATTATTTTTCAAATATCTTCCTGTAGTTACAAAAATAGTGCATTTTTATAAGAATCCAAAATAGTATCATTCTATTTCTACAGCTACTCCTTTCCCTAGAAGGAACTGTTTACTTCCATATGCATCTTTTTAACTTTTTTTCTGTTCAACTAAATATAAACTTTAAAAATTGAAGTAATTCTTATTTTCATGGGATTAAATTATTTCCAAAAAAATTACTCATATTAGAAATAGAAAGATAACTAGTAAAACATGTATGAGGATCCAAGGAGGGGAGGGGAGGAGCAGAGAGGTGAGGATGGGCAGGGGGTTAATCACAGGTTGCACAATTTGATGGGTAGAAGGAGGGGTGAGTAAGGAAATGGGAAAGATCCAGTGTGAAAAACCATGTATACAAATTTTGTAAGCAAACCAGTATAAAATAAAAATTTTATTTTAAAAAAATAAAATAGCTCATGCTTTATATACGGATTTCTGGTGACTTAATGGTAAAGAAGCTACATTGCAATCCCAAAGGCATGCAATCCCCGAAACACCAGCTGCTCCGCGGGAGAAGGCAATCTCCCTCCCATTCTGTTTACAGACTCCGAACAACTCAATAGTACACAACAACAACGTGTATATTTATTAAACTAATGAGTGTATATTTATTAAACTAATGAGTGAGACTACCACTAGAAAACTCTGTTTATGCTCTTACCATAGAGACAATTTTATACCAATACATGTGTACCTTGCTTGAGTCTTTATTTTAAAATTATAGTAATGTATGAACAGTCCGCACATCTACTTTAAATTCATAAATGATAATGATATTTTTAAGAGAACTATAGTTTAAATACATTTCAGTTTTATTTTAGAATCATGTAATAGAATGAAAATAGGTTGCAAAACAGGTACAAAGTACAAAAAGAAGCTTGGACAAGGAAGGAAATGGCCACATAAAGACAGACATTCAGAGGTGAAAGAACAGTATACATCTCTAAAGGGAGGGGTGGAAGAGACTGAGGAAGAGAAAAAAAATGCAGGTGCTAGTACATAATAGAGAGCTCTGGTCACTTAATGGTAAGGAGTTAGGCATCCAACCCAAAGGTATGCCATTCAAATCCACCAGCTACTCCATCGGAGAAAGATGAGCAGTCTCCTCCTGTGCAGTTTATTGCCTCTGAAAATCTGCTAGAGGGTCAGCAGTATACAACAGCAATAACATAATAGGGAGCACTGGTGGCCTAGTGGATGAGGAGATGCATTGCCAAGCTAAAGGCAGTTCCAGTTCAGCAGGTGCTCCACAGGCAAAGGATGAGTGATCTCCTCACCCACAATTTACTGCCTCTGGTAAAACTGCCTCTGAAAAAACTTCCTGGAGGTTCAGGTTTGAGTCACTTTCAACTTGAGGACACTTAGCAACGATAGCGTAATAATACTAACATTATTTCATTGAAAAAATCTTTATAAATTAAAATATGACCATAGTTTGTTAGTTATGTTCTAATAATTGGTATTAAGATTAGTTTTCTTTGTGTATTTTCACATTTTCTGAAGTAACTGAAATAAATGTGAAAAATGGGAATATAAATAGACAAATTTAGCAGCTTAATGACAAAATGTGTTCACATTTGTGCTTATATAGATCTGATGTCACTGGTCAAAGGAATAGAAATTCTTGAATGTGTAGGTATTATAATTTGTATTTTGATACCTACACATTCACTACAATGACTATGACCTAAATAAAAATAAGTATATCTTTATCTCTCTTTTTCCTTAGCATTATTACCCCATTAACAATGGATATGTATGCCTGGACTAGAAAACAAGCTGTTTTGTATGATGGAATAATACTTGCAGCTCTTGGAATTGAGGCAATTCTTCTTTTCATGGGAATTAAATCACTTTCCAAAAAGTAAGTCATATAGTTTTGATTTTTGTTAAAGTCTGTTTTTTTAAAAGAGAAATATGAGAGTTAATATAAACAGTTGTACTAGTTATTGTTAGATGCTGTCAAGTCAAATACAACTCCTAGTGACCCTATAAACAGCAGAGTTGAATCTTGCCCTATCCTGCACCATCCTGATGTTCTCTGATGTGCCCAAGCTTATTGTTACAGTTACTGTGTGAACATCTCTTGTTGAAGGTCATCTTCTCTTTCATTGAACTTTTTCCTTTCCCAGCTTAGTATCTTATTTTTTCAAGGACTGGTTCCTCCTGGTAAGTGTCATGTGAGATGAAGTTTCACTATCCTTAGCTTGAAGAAACACCCAGTTGCGCTTCCTCTGAGACATCTGTTTGTTCTTTCATCAATCCATAGTATACTCACTGCTCTTCACCAATACCACAATTCCATTATTTTCTCATTATATATCAGCCATGATCCTTGAGATTTTGCAAGTTTAAAATACTAACTAAAATGTCAGCCTTTTGAAGCCATTGGCTACTTTATGAGAGAAACTTGAGGCAGTTTCTCATATTTAAAGATATGCTACCAACTCAAAACCATCATTTAAGTCCGAACCAACTCACACCTGACCCTCCAGCAGGCTTGTATATTGAAATATACAATGTTATCAATTATGTGGGAGGAGAATTCCCATCTTTCTCCCATTAAGCCACTGGCAGATTCAAGCCTCCAGAGAAGAGTAATTTGTGGGTTAGCAGTGCAATTCTCTACAGCACACACCACCAGAGCATAAAGATATTTGTTGTTCTTAGGTGCAATTGAGTTGAGTACAACCCAAAGTGACCTTTTGAGCAAAAAATCTGAAGCCTATCCTAATCTGTACAATCCTCATCCCCTCTGAGACACTTGAGCCCATTGCTGCAGTCACTGTGTCCATCCTCTTTTTAGCTGAACTCCCTAGTTCCAAGCATGATATTTTCTCCCAAGGAATAGCTGCTCCTAGCAACAGAAGGAGCATGGTGGTGTGAGAATCATGGCAAGCTTTTGGAGTCCAGTGCTTTTCCAGGCATGTGTTTGATGTGCAGTTTTCTCTGTCCCCGGGAGTGAGGCAAGCTAGGCTTGGCCTAGGGTTTAAGGCAGGAGGCAGCCTTAAGCCCAAAGGCAGCTGGGAGAGGAGGCGGCCATGTTCTTCCTGGTTAGCTCCTCCCAGGATCTCGTGACAATTATGTGCCCATTGTGGTAATGGGTACCCATGGTGGACAGTGTTGGCTGGAGCTTCCCGACTAAATCAAGCCTGGAAGCAGGAGCGACATCCATTTCCAAAATGGTTTGCCTCCGGAAACTCTATGTACAAACAGTGCTCAGGCTGTTCGTTCATAGGGTCGCTATGAGTTGTCTACAACTCGACGGCACCAAACAACAACAACAGCAGTATAACTAAAGTATGTGAGATGAAACTTTATCCAGTTTCAGACAGCAGACAATGCAGTATGTCCTCTGATCTCTTGACTGCTTGCTAGTACCAAGGATGTTATTTGTGGATCCAAGTAAGATGAAATAGTTTATCATTTCAGTCTTTTCTCCATCTTTCATGATGTTGCTTCTAGGTCCAGTGATGAGGAGATATTTATCTTCTAGATGTTAAGATGTAATCCATATTGAAGGCTGTTATCTTTGATCTTCTGTAGCAAGCATTTCAAGTCCTCCTCACTTTTAGTAAGCAAAGTTGGGTCTTCTGAATAATGCATAAACACATAAAGATATTCTATAGTATATATTTTTTCCTACTAGTTTATGTACAAAATTCTAATACAAATTTGAACAAATTCTTTCATTTCTCTCACCCCCCCTACCCATCAAATTGTACAACCTGATGATTAATCCCCCCTGCCCTATACATCCACTTCCCTCTGCTTCCACCCTCTCCCACTCTTCTTGGATCCTTATACTTATTCTACAATAATGTTTTTTATAAAATATTTATCTTTGTAGGACTGAGTTAGTTCACTCAGCATAATGCTTTCCAGGCCCTAACAAGTTAGGTAATAATTTACAAAATCATTGCTCTTGCATGCTGCATAGTATTCTGTTATGTGAATATACCATAATTTCTCAATCCATTCATTTGTGATTGGACCTTTGGGCTGTTTCCATGTTCTTGTGATGGTGAATAATGCTACTATAAACATTGGTGTACAAATCTGTTTGTGCCTCAGTTCTCATATTCTCATACAAAGAAAACTACAGAGCATTTCTGCAAGACACAATAAAAGACCTAAAGAAATGGAAAAATGTTCCCTGTTTCATGGATAGGAAGACTCAATATGGTGAAAATGATGATCCTACCAAAAGCAATCTTCATGTTCAATGCAATCCCAACCAAATACCAAATTAATTTTTCAAGGAGATTGAAAGGGAAACTATAAAATTTATTTGGAGAGGCAAGAGACCCCAAATAAGCAAAACACTCTAAAAAAGAAAAAGTGAGGTTGGAGGCATAGCACTCCCTGACCTCAAAATCTGCTACACAGCAGTATTAACCAAAACAGCATGTTACTGGTACAATGACAGGCACACAGACCAATAGACCCAGCTATCTATGGCTGGCTGATATTCAACAGTGAAATCTATAGTGTATATTATGTTCTACCAAATATATTTCTAAAAATATCTGTCACAAAAATCTTCTTTTATTATGTGGTAATAGATGTTGTTAATAGATGTGTACAACAAGAAAGTATCAGTGGTTAATGTGGTTTAGAAATTCTGGTTAAAATGGCAAAGAATGTCAAAATGCTCTAGAATGTTTACATTTCAATATACATATTGTATCACTGTCATAAGGAATACTGGTAACATAAGATTATACATAAGCTGCTTTAAAGAGGTATAAAGCAGAGAGAAAGAATAAAGAATGACAAACCCAGGATGAATGGGATCAGGTAATAGTAGTATATTTGATACACTTGTCTAGGAAAAAAGGCCAGGGATGTTATATTCAAGCAGAGAACTCAGTGAATTCAGAGAATAACTATTGTGGTGTTACCTAAAAGTTGTCTTCTTTTTAGCCATTATGGTTAATGTCTCCAGTTGATCTCCAGCTACCTAAACTGCAGACACCTTGTGATGCAAATCAGCATGATCTTGCAAATCAGCATCAGCTGTGAAATTAGGATAAGAGAAAGAGTGCTTCCCACATTAAGCAGCAAGACTTGGGGCATCAAGACTCAAAGTGAGCAAGATGGCAGGCCATGCCCACAGACATCTGTTGGCGTATGCAAAATTGCACCATGGAGATATTTGTGACCATGGCAACCAAGAAGGCTACTGGTGAACATTCTTCAATGACTTCTTTAAAGTGGGACACATAAGTGGTGAAGGTGTCTTCACCCTTTGTCTCCATGGGTCTTGAGGCAGAGGAGTTTAAACTGTTCCAGCTATCACAGCTGCGGCCCAAGTGGTGTGTAGTGCTCAGTGCACCTCAACTCGCTCACTAAACTTGGTGCTCGCTGAAGTTGTTGCACCTTGCCTAGGACCTGTCGTGACAACTTGGAGCTGTGGTCTTTTCTAAAGTCACAAATAACATTGATTTGAAAGCACCCTTATTGATTAGTGTTGAAGTTCCACTCAAAGGCAATATTTGCAAACATTTATCCAGTAGCTCTTATGGGACTGCCACTGATTTCCATCTGTCTTCTACGTTTGTTATGTTAGCTGCCTTGAGAGGTCATTTTTTCCTTTCCAGTGACAAAATGCTGCGCAATCTCTTAAAAATAAGTTTTTTAAAAAAAAACTTTAGAGTTTCATTATACAGCTTTAGATATCTCACAATAAAAGAGTTGAAATTAATGTTAATGGGTGATAAAATTTAAACATCATTAAAATGGCATGTTTTTACATAAAATATACCTCAATAATAAATACAAACAAAAAAAGACATGTACGAAGAAAGTAAAACAAATAAGGACATTACTCATTTGGAAAAAAAAACCCATAGTGAACACATCTGAATAGATACTCACAACATAATCTACCAAAAAAAATTGCACAGCTTAAAGAGAAGATAATGTTCGTACATACCATACTCATTTAAATTGACTAATGAGGATTTGGAAGGAAGTGATGCCTGACCAGTCAGGCAGAGAGCTGATCCAAAACAAAAACTTGAGTATCAGCTTTATTTTGATCTTTTACAAGTGTTGCTTGTTCATTTTGCAGCAATGGAAAACTTAAAGAGTAGTGATACATAGCTAGTAATCGGAAAGACTGTGGCTTGAATTAGACACACCTTAGTCCTCAAATTGACACCACTACTCCCCTATATTTTGGAAAGGTCCCTAACTGCAGATTTTCCCAGTGCAATGAGTCTCCTTACTTCCTGACTGCCGGTACCAAGGCTGTTAATTGTGGGTCCAAGAAAGATGAAGCTGTTGACAGTTTCTATATCCTCTCCATCCATCATGATGGTGCCTAATTGGTCCAGTAGTAAGAATCTTTGTTTTGAGTGAAACGCAATTCATACTGAAGGCTGAATTCCTTGATCTTCTGCAATAAGTGCTTCAAGCCCTCCTCACTTTCAAAAAGTAATGTGTCATCTGCATACTGCAAGTTATTGATGAGTCTCCAATCCTGGTGCCACATTCCTCTTCATAGAGTACAGCTTCTTGGATAATTTGCTCAGCATATAGAGGTATGGAGAGAGAATACAACCCTGATTCACTCCCTTCCCAATTCCAAAGTACGTAATGCTCGCTGTTCTGTTCACACAACAGGCTCCTGATCCAGGTATAGGTTCCTCATGAGCACAATCAAGTGCTCTGGGATTCCCATTCTTCTTAATGTCAACCACAACTTGTCATGATCCACACAGTCAGATGCCTTTGCATAGTCAATAAAACACAAATAGATATTCTTCTGGTATTCTTTACTTTCAGCCAGGATCCATCTGACATCAGCAGTGATCTCTCTGTTGCCACAGCCTCTTCTAAATCCCACTTGAACTTCTG